CATAAACATAGTATCTCGCGCGTCGCTCCACCTCCCGCTCATCGATCGATTTTCTTAAATGCCTTCCGAGTCCGGCCTACCATCTCCTGCATCCTCATTCGCTCAAACGTATAAATTTATATGTCGATAACTATTGTTACTTTGTACCTCGGTACATGATATTTCTCCTTAGTTTAACCCAATCTACCGCTATTTCCAAAATTGCTACTTCTGCATCAGACACCCTGTATATATATTTCATGATACTTGCAAGAGTAAACACATAAATTACGATAAAGAATGCAACAATATGTAAAAGAAAATCTAGCATACTTTGTCTAAATGCCATGAGCAGTCCTAAACCGACACAATTCCTGAACTCATCTAGGGCATCAATCTTTCGCGAATCAATAGCACAGCTCGATTTTATTGTTTCCAAGTTTGGAAAAAATGCTTTATCTCGTAAGTTCATTAAAACTTTATTTATATATAGAGGAAATGTCAAATTTAAATAACGCAATCGGTGCTTTCCATGCAGTACTGTACAAAGGGTTTCTTCGTCTTCTATAGGTATATGTATAAGGGTTAATTCTTCTAAAAATTTTAGATGTTGGAGATACAACAATCCTTCGTCCAGATTGTAGCCCTTATCAAATGCATCAATATTACATCTCAAATTTAACACTAAAAATGTATATGATTAGTCAGACATAATTTAATTTTATTTTTTTAAATCATAATCGTACCTGTCAAATCTTTGCATGTTTTTCCAATTTCACAGAGGATATCGTTGTCAAACTTGCAAGAAGTTAATTGCAAGGACGTTAACTTCGAGCCACAAGTTCTAAGAAACGTTACGAAACGTGGACTAGAAATGTCGCATGATACAAGATTCAACTGTCGTAATTGCTCACATCTGGATTCCAAGCTAGATAGAATTTTACACTGCCAATCACCAATAGTATCATCGGTAGACGTCTCATACATGCGCAAATCTTGTATATTTAAATATTTAAAAAGCGAAGGATCTCGTGTTAATCGATTGAAGCATTTATTCGTTTGACTCATAAGGCACAATGACCTTAAATCTAAGTATTCCAGTATTTTTAGTATCATCTCATCCTGCAAGGATAAAATATAAAATTTTAATTCACGATATTATAACAAATATTGTTATAAGAAAGAAACTTCTTTAAATATGTGTTGAATATTTTACAGGAAGCATAGAAAAATCACAACGTGGTTGCTCCTTGAATTCACTTGGAGAAGGTGTGATGCCTTTCAATTTTCCATTATTTAAATGTAAATTGCTAAAAATAATGTTGAAATTAATTGATCGTTAATATTAATAAAAATAGAATATTACTTACTATCGAAGATTACAATACCTTTTACGAATAATACAATAGTCGGAAAATTTTTCCATAAGTTGATCCAGATCCGCATTTTTGTAATCTGGTGTTAAATTGTGCATATCCTTACGGTCAGGATAGCTGCAATTAATATCTTTTAATAGATCGGTCAAACTCTGTTTAGGATCTCTAGGTTGAATCAATTCTGATGTTCCGATGAGCTCTACAGCATCTATCTGTATTCTCTCAGCGTTAAACGGCAATATTAATCTGAGCATTTTAGTTTTAAAGTCACAGGCCCGTAAAGCCGGGGACAACAGTCGTCTTGTATATCGAACAACCTGTTTTCCTCCAGTCCATAATAAAAACCACCGATCAGAATCTCGCGCCCAAATTTCCATTATTATACCAGGATTCAGTCCTTGCTGTATAGAAACCCTAATTGGATATACAGCTTCTTGAAACTCGAAATCTACAAAGTAAATAATAGAACTGCAATTATTTCTGAACACAAGCATATTTTCTTTAATAATACCTTATTTCTAAATTCAAATATTATACATACCAACATAATTATGACGCATGTTCTCAAAGAGAGTGCAATCTGATGAATGATCTGCTTCTTGCAGGTATGAAGATTTTGAAATACTGAAACTGTCTTTGACAAGTACCTGTATTAAGAAAAAATGTCAAATATTACAGAATCTTGCAGCATAAAGTGAAATTACGAGTATTTTTTACAAAACATTAGCAGGTAATATTTGGAAATAACACATACACGTCTTCCTCGAGATCTCTTGAAGTCTATAAATATAGTAGGCAATCCATTTATATTATAATTACAAGAAATTTCTCGTCTTCCAATATACCTATTGGAATATATTTTCGGATACTCTAGAAGTTGAAGCTGTTCAACTTGAAATCCTCTTTTGCCTTGGCTTTTGCGTATATGTGATTGATGGATAAAGTCAACATGATCCTCTTCTACATTTACCCTTTTGATATCTATACTATTCTTCGAATTTGATACGTAATGGGACATCGTATTTTCTGAGAAAAATGAAATATAATCTCGATAAAGAATTAGCCAGCACTTTGTCGCCAAGTTGGCATTAAATATTATATATAATGCACCAGCAATTTTGACACCAAAATCTGAGGGAAGTAATTTGATACCACATTCATGTAAGAAAACCGAGCAAAATCTATTAAGTATCTGGTAGACGTGTAAGCGTAACGTGTCATCTAACTAGTAGCACAATATAGCAGAAATAATGTAAATCTAATGCTATGTATGTTGGGTGTAATTGATCCATGACATGGATTCAATATTGTAAAGTGATCGCCGTCTCTTACAGTTTACATTTAAATATGCCAACATTAGTTGTCAATGCAAAAATGTAAAATACATTACCATTTTCCAACAGCTCTTAGGAAAATTTAACTAAATAAAATTAAAGTTTCAAAAGTAAATTTTCAGCTCTAAAAGTTTATTTTTAAAAATTAAAAGTTTTCTTGTGGCGCAGAGAAATGTACGCTGCTATAAATGAACGACAAAATCCTATTTCGAATCCAGCAGTGGATATAACTGATGGTTTTTTGGACGTCAACATTTTAAGTAAAAAACTTGAATAAAATTAACAAATATTACTGTTTTGGTGAAATAATTTTTTCAAATTGTGTTTTTTTACAAAGAAATGTTAAAAAATATTAGGAAATATAGTTTTTTTACAAGAAAATATGAAATATTCCTGGAACGCGTTATTTTCGAGCCTTTCACACACTGTGTGCACAGGGCACGAAGATATGCGGGATAGAAAAATGCGGAAGAACGCTGATTGCCTATATGAATCACGCAGCATTCTGTGTCCCGCACGCTGATTCTCGTATTGTATGATTTCACCCTTAGTTCGTTCTGTTACTGAACGAACTCATAGACATAGTATACAGGGTGTCCCGAATTTAAATGTCCAAACTTCGGGAGCGTGTAGGAGATGATAAATTAAAAATAAAAAGTCCTTTGGAGATATGCTCGTTTTTACTTTGTTTTGGAAAAATCGCAAAAAAGAAAACGTAGTTTTAATTTTTGTATTTATTTACTATTTATTCATTTATTCACACTTATTTATTCATGTTGTCACTTGCTTAATGTAGATATTGTTCAAAATGTTGGCCTCTTGCTGCAATGCAAGCATTGCATCTAGTACGGACAGCTCGTGTTGCAGCCAAACACTGATCTGGTGATATTTGGTGCACTGCAGCCACGACTCGGTCTCTTAATTGCTCTCTTGAGGTGACTGGCAATGAATAAACTTCCTGCTTCAGGGCCCCCCACACAAAGAAGTCCACTGGTGTCAGATCAGGTGATCGGGGTGGCCAAGATACTACTCCTCCACGTCGAATCTTTAGTGGGACCATTTTTTTTACCCGACAGATTAAACGCAGCCAGATATACAGATTTTTTGGGGACAGACTTTCGTAATTATTTAGAAGACATCCACCTGCAACAACGGATTGAGATGTGGTTCCAGCTCGATGGGTGTCCAGCTCATTATGGCAGAGCTACTCGAGCTTGGCTAGATAGGCATTATCCACGAAGATGGATTGGACGTGGAGGAGTAGTATCTTGACCACCCCGATCACCTGATCTGACACCAGTGGACTTCTTTGTGTGGGGGGCCCTGAAGCAGGAAGTTTATTCATTGCCAGTCACCTCAAGAGAGCAATTAAGAGACCGAATCGTGGCTGCAGTGCACCAAATATCACCAGATCAGTGTTCGGCTGCAACACGAGCTGTCCGTACTAGGTGATGCAATGCTTGCATTGCAGCAAGAGGCCAACATTTTGAACAATATCTACATTAAGCAAGTGATAACATGAATAAATAAGTGTGAATGAATGAATAAATAGTAAATAAATACAAAAATTAAAACTACGTTTTCTTTTTTGCGATTTTTCCAAAACGAAGTAAAAACGAGCATATCTCCAAAGGACTTTTTATTTTTAATTTATCATCCCCTACACGCTTCCGAAGTTTGGACATTTAAATTCGGGACACCCTGTATATGTACGTATAGACTGCATGTTCTCTACCTGACTCGCGTAAAAACATGGACCAAATGTAGAACCATGTAGAACGAGATAGCTGGTGTTAGCTCGTAACTTCATCTTTGTCTAGTGAAGTAGTGGAGGTAACAGAAGAGTAGGAAAACCCTCTCTCTGTCAAGCACAGTAGCCATATTGAATTTTTGCCCCACTCCAGATATTGATAGACAGAGAGAGTACCACGAGGGAAAGCTTGTTGCATATTGTCTCTTTCTAGATTGTGCTTCTGCAGCCACAATGCGCAGTCTATGGCTGCGTTCGGTTTGGGCGCTCACATGCTGTGAGCATCATTCTATCTTCGTTGCACATCGAATATCAAACGAAGATAGAGCGGTGCTTACAGCGCGTGAGCGCCCAAACCGAACTTCTTCTTCTTCTGCTAATTATGACGCCCGGCTCCTAATAAACGGTAGCCGACACGGCCACGACGAACCAACAGATGTTGTAGAATTATAGACGATTAATTGGTGATATTATTACAATGCAAGGGCCCGACTATCGTGCCTCGCGCGGGATGATGCAATCGGATGATGCAACCCCGCAGGATCAAAAATTTTTCTTCGGTCAAAAAACGTTTGTATCACTCATGAAGAATAGAGATAAGGAGGCTCAACTAATGCTTTTGAGAATGAGACCAAAACCTGGTTTCTGTGGTAGTTCAAAATATGTACACCGGCGGCGCTACGGTAGACAAACTATTGCTAAACAGAAGTCGGGAGGGGATAAATCATGGTACACTAATATACACACTCACACCGGGTCTACTAATACACACTCATACTGTGTACGTGAGAACGCTGTCGTGGAACGGAAGCGACATCTCGATTAGGATTTAGTACTAGCAGCGATGACAATTTTTGGGCTCAGAATCTGACGCATCCGCCCATATAAGTTGACCCCCTTATCTCTATTCTTCATGGTATCACTCGACGTCCCAAACGGAACTTGCCCAAACCGAACGCAGCCTATATATACTATGTCTATGAACAAACTGAATAAAAGAGTCTTTAAGCCTAATACACGATAAGAAGAAGTTAAAAGTTTAGTGATGAAACATGTGAAACTATATCTTCGTTAAATACTTACGGAGTTCTTCTTCTTCTTTCCTATGGCTCCCGGCTCAACCGCTGAGCCGACACGGCCACACTTACGGAGTTATGAGGCTTGAAATTTACAGTATCACCAGCATTACCATTACGCGTGGCGTGCCACGTGGCGGTTGCAACGGTTGGCTTTACAACTTCAAAGTGGTACACCTCATGTAATTACAATACTGATAATACTGTAACTTTCGAACTTCACGATTAATTGAAACCAATCATTATTATTACTACTGGATAAACTTTTTTCACACAACGCCAAAATACATTGCGACTCATGATGAACTGTTGTACGGCGTCTGAATGATAACATTCAGTGTACAAATTCAATATATGACGCATTATGTTGGTATAACTTAACTAAGAAATAAATATTTACCTTGCTTTAATAATTATTTTTACATACAATTCACCTCGGTTATAAATAGGTAGGTATAGTAAAGTCCTTGTCGAAGAGTACAGTGTTATACACCACGCGGTTCCACTCCTGGAATGCTAATGGTACATGGTACAAGAGCACGTGGAAAGATTAGGGTGCTTTTGTACATAGAGAAAATGAAGGTAGAGGGGAGCGAATAGTGTTCTCTACTCTGATTGGTCCGCCATTTTTATTTTTACAGACTGGCTGCTACACGGTGTTTTTAGTGAGTTTCAGAACGTGCATCATGGAGAATGTATAAGGAGACCGAACCAGGGGGGACAAACTCTCTCTTGAGAAAACCGGAGATAGAGATCCTCAAGTAAGAGATGCGCAAACCTTGAACGCGACGGGATTGGTTCTGGCCGACTTTGCAAGAATATGGCGGCTCGCGCGGCTCGCTAGTGCGCGGTTCGTTAGCGCGCAGGCTCGTTGGCGCGCAGACTTGTTGCCGCGCAGGCGTGTTGGCGCGCAGGCCGCCATATTCTTGCAAACGACCGAAGATTGCGCATCTCTTAGTCCCAGTCTACAATAGATGATTTAAGCCCTAAGCTTTAAGAAATTGGCCAATC